TGGATACAGGGGACAGGAAACTAGGAGAGTAAGACAAAGAAGGTGGGGAACAGGCAAGCCTTCTGCAGTACTACAAAGATCAACCAAGTGGACCCACTGCCCAGTAGGACAGCCGGGCATCAAAACACACACACTGCAGAGGACAGTGGCTCTTAAAAACTTTCCTCTACCATCAGTGTCACTGGAGGGGCTTGCTTAAAAAGAACAAAAAGCCCATCTATTTGGCAATTCTCCTGAATGGTCTTGGAGGGAACTGGGTTATATACATTAGAAAACTGAGAAAGAAAAAAATTCTAACCTTTTTACAAATAGTAGTGACCACAGAAACAGACACTGCTCACCCTTCCTCTAGGAGATTCTGAACCAAGAGGAATGGATGGGGCCCCGAAACCACTCTGATGCAGGGGGTCCGCAGGTAGCACCAACCCAAGATGCGTGGCTAAGCCAGTGAGGGCCACGGCCACAGCTCGCCCACCATGCTGCCGGTGGTGCTGGCCCAGCTCTGTGACTCTGGCAGGACACAGAAGACAGTTCCAGACACACCCTCCTCCCGTGTAGAAGCCTGGATCAGTAGCTGTCCCGGGGGGCCTCGTCCAAAGTGCCCACCTCAAACTTCTATGACACATGCTGGAAACAAGCCCTAACACCACTCTCACGAGTGATTCAAAACAAGCAGCACTCTGGATCAATCTCCTGTGTTACAACTCACACAATAAAATGCACAGATCTTAGTGAACAGCATGATGAATTCTGACGTGTAGATATATGCATGTCCTGTGTTACGTTAAGAATGATTGAGTCTCCATAATGTAGGTCTGGTCTTAAGATTTTCCTCCCCAAAAAAAAAAAAAAATCACACACATGAACTTCCGCTGAGAAATATCTTGTAGGAAACCCCATGAGAAAGCCTGAAGATAAGGCCCCTTTGGTCACCAAACTTTCTCACATTAGATAAATTCAAGACGTGGCCCATTTCTAAACCAGGCTCCTTTAAAAGCAACTGTGTCCCTGCCGTGGAGGTCACTGACTCCACGGGCAGACCAGTCCCCACTGATGCCTGAGTTTCCCCCTTCCTGCAGATGCTCCCCAGCTGGGTGTGTCAGGCCTTTTTCAGGTGAAAACAGCAGAAGCCCAACCCAAAGCTTTAGCAAGGACAGTGTCACCAGGAATTGGGGCTCCCTCTTCCAGGGTGCCCTGGGCCCCGCCCACACACTTTGGCGCACATTCCTCCTTCTAGATGGCCCACATGTGGACATGTCCCATGAGGACCACCCAACCTGTCACCCCCCGCTCCTATTACCTGTCAGTCAAATTAAAATAATGTAAACATTCTTCTATCATGTAAGCTGTCCTGGAAAACTATACAGTAAATATGTATGTTAAGTAGCTATGTCATTTTTATTAATTCAAATTATGAACAAGTAAAATGGCATACATTTTATTAGATATAAACTTGACCGTTTCTAAAACATCCTTGATTTCAGAGCTGCTACAATGTGAAAAAAAAAAGTGAAATTAAAGTCATGAAATACAATCATATGATGAAATTTCTAACCAACTTCAAAAATCCATAGACTTAAATTACAAGTAAAATGGCTTAAGACAGAGCTGAACTGAGATGCCACATCAAAATCTAGGAACACGGGTGTCTGCCTTGACCCCCATGCTGAGACACCCAAGCCCCCTCCCCACACGGCACCCAGGCTCAGGCGGCTGGGAAGGCAGCGGGGGCGGCCCGGGCCCCACTGCCGCCCCACCCAAAGGGAGAGGACCACCCCACAGAGACACTCCTCCGCCCTGTGGCCCTCGTCTTAGTCGCTCAGTGTTTCCTCAGCCACCACTTTGTGCTGTTGGGATGCCCCCCACCCGAGAAAGCTCACCCACAGCCCCACTGCATGTGGCGGCCACCAGCTCCCGAGCACTCAGGAGGAAGGCATGCGAGGTCGGGTCACAGATGCCTCACGTGGTGACCCCACGCTCCGCTCCGGAGGCACCTCCTCTAGTCTCCTGTCCCCACTGTGAGAAGCTGCCTCCACCCCACCGTCTGTCTCCTCCAGCCCGGACCACTGTGGTGGTCCCTGCACCCACGCCCTGAGCCAATTCCTGCTAGGCACCCCCATCTCACTGCTCTCCCCGCCTCCCCTGGTCCTCCTGCAGGTTCCTACGCAGGCCAGCACACGCCCAGCACCCAGGGTCGCCATAGCTTCTGCTCACACTTCCCGCCTGTCCTTAAATCTCCGTCCTCGGCAAGGCCCTCTCCAGTGGCTCCCTCTGCGGAGGCCCCTGGGACAATCTCAACCACTGCATGCTACTCCGACTGCTGGGCCAGTCTGCATTTGGTCATTATTTGTTTTCCATCACCACCTCCTCCCAGTTTCAGCAAAGTGGGCGAGGGCTACATCATCACCACCTGCATTCTGGGTGCACCAGGGCCCAGAGAAGATTCTACAAATGTGTGAATTAAAGTAATGGCCATATCCTCTGCCCCCACCTTCCCCACCCAGGGATGCTGGAATCCTCTATAAACTAGAAGAAAAAAGCAAGAGCCCCTTGGTCAATGCCTGAGTAGAGCTCAACACCAGGTGCTTTGGCATCAGAGTCCCATTCTGAATTGTTGGGACACTAAATCTAGTTGGGCTGCTTCACAGTTCTCTTTTTTTCATTAAAGATACCTAGATTTTCAGTAACTGCTTCCCCTCACTGTGCAAACATCTATGGATTCCAAGTGGCCAGATATAATTTAGAAACTCAAGGAAGAGCATGTTCAAAACCTGCAAGCAGCGGCCTCAGCGCAGGCCAGGGAAGCACTCCCCAAGACCTTGGGCAGATAACGTGGCCTCGGGTGTAATTAAGAAGCGCTTTGGGCTTTACTAACTGGAGGCCACAGAGCCCCGGACAAATCAAAACCCAACTCAGACTCACATGTGAAATGGGACAGGGAACATCTTTCAAGAGGCCATTGCAAGAATGAGGTCCAACGTAGGCCATGAGTAGCACTTAGATGTTAGGCAAACAAGTCCGTGGCCACCCCACTTTTACGCCAGTCCCTCTGGTTCCCACCCCACAGCACCGAAGCTGTGACTGGGTCACGCCGCCACACAGCCCACCTGTACCCACTTACAAAGTCACTCCATTTGCCGCCCAGAGGCACCTGCTGCGGGCCTCCCGCCAAGCCCACGTACGCCCCTGGGGAGTGGTGGCTCGCTGGTATGCAGGTGGCGAGGACCAAACTGCTTCCTTGGTTTGCAGGGAAGGAGAAGCATGGCTAAACACCTCACAGTGCACGGGATGGCCCCACATCACAGAAGGACCCAGCTGTGCCAACGGAGAGAGAAGTCCTGCTCCAGACCAAAAGGCTGTCCCTGCAGTCCCCCCAAGCCTGGTGCAGGTGGAGGGAACCAGAAGCCCCTCTGCAGCCCTGGACAAGCATGCCACCCTGGGAATTCAGTCCCCTGGAGCAGCAGGGGCAGGCAGGGCAATGCAGAACTTAGGGATTCTACCACCAAACTGTGGTATTCTACCACTAGAGGAGAATGGGGAAGCGGGGCTGGAGAAGACATGGGAAGGAAACCGGGGGGAGCATTAGGGCAGGCTTCCCAAACGAGGAAGCACAGGAGGCCTGTGACGACTCAGGTGAGGCTTGCCAGCATAGGTTCCGGGCCACAGTCCCCGCACAAGGACGAGCAGGGAAAAAGCCCAGGACTGTGCGCACCAGATCCCCGCCTGCTGCCCCCAGAGCCCTAAGGGGCTGAGCTAAGGGAGCAGCCGGCCTTGCCCTGGGCTCTGTGATCTGTATGGCCAGGAACAGGACAATCCTGTCAACAGAAGATCACCGAAAGGAGAAAAGCAGGTCCCGGAAAAGTTACAGAGAGAAGGTCAGAAGAATAAAGAAGTGAAAACTTGAAGTAGTTTGGGAACAGATTTTATTACTGGCATCCCTTAAGGAAAAGGAGAAACAGCACCTGATCAGGACACCTTACTATTACCCCATTTTCTAATTTCAACAAAAACACAGAGAAAGAGATCCAACTCTTCCTTTCTTCCAAGAGCCCCAAAGTTTCTAACTACTGTAAGCATGTTACATAAGATGCTAACATTAGAGGAAACCAAGGCATTTTCTGTGTTATCTTTATAACAAATACTTTAACATAAAAAGCTTTTAAAAATCAGAAGACAAAAAACAACTTTTTATGAACATGAGCCCCTGGTTTTCTTCTGACCCTTCCCAATCCACTACTGCACAACTAGGAGGACGGCAACTTGAAAGGGCAGGTTCCCAGCAGCGAGCCCAGGGGAAGGAGCTGGGTGCTCCTAGCCTCACCGGACCACCAAAGGCACATGGGATAAGCAGCAGCTGCACGTGCACTGCAAGGTCTGACAAGGGAACACAACGCATCCCTCTTAGTGTTTGTAATTAAGAGTTTCCACTGTGCAGTACAAAAGGAGCTGTTTTCCCATTAATACCTTGGTTAGTTAGGCCGAGAGGTTCCAAGTTCCTATTTTATAGGTGGGAAATCTCAGAAAGAATGAAGACACCTGAAACCATCTTTCAAGTCAGACATTACGCCCACATCTCAAGAAACGACACAGTCTTCCAAAGATAGATGATCTTCATTCGACTGTAACGTAAATTGATGGGCTTCTGAGAGCATCACCCACTGGCAAACAGAAGTGTGAGAAGAGCCCATCTCTCTACTGTTCTACTACTGAGTCAAGAGGGTGTCTCTGGAGAGAAAGCAAAGCTATGCGTGGCCAGGAATGTGTTCATTCCACAAAGGGTCCCAGGAAGGACTGGCTGAATCATCTCTCTGTGGCCCTCCACTGCCAGTTCACCACAGAAAATACAAACTCCCTGACAGCGTGCTCCTCATGAGGAAGGGGGGCTATTTTCTGATCAACCACGACGCAGTGTCAGCTGCAGACCTTCACTGCCAGCATGAGACCACACTCAGCAAAGTGCCCCCTGGAGACCACAGCCCACAGGGCCACGGGCAACTTACCATGTTTGGCACGTTGGCGACTGAAGTGTTCTTGATGTCTGCAGGGAAGGGAGGTAAACTATTGACCATGCTCTGCTTGCTGGGTAACTGCGGGTTCACTCCAGGGGCTCCCATTTGCTGCCCTCCAGTTTGACTAAAGGGTTGGCCAAATGGACTTGTGTTGCCAGCCATTGCCATCTGAAACAAGAAGAGGCAACATTAGGGACTGTGACATGATCACACGGAACAAAGGGCCTCAGAGATGCTCACTCTGACCCACTGACACAGAAATCTGCATTTCCTGTGAAACTCTCAACTGTAAATTAAAGGCTCATTCTTAAGGCTTGCAGAGAATTATTACTGGAGCAACTTGCTCAAGTGGTTACATACTAAAGGCAAAGACCCCCAAGGCCTCCCGCAGCCCAACCTATCCCCTCCCTAACAGTATTCCGGGGCCAGTGCTCCCCGGCCTGACTCCCCTGACAGCAGCATCACACATGGAGAAGATCCTTCGGAAAACACACGAAGATCCTCTGGAGATCGCCACGGCAGCTCCTTCCATTTCATCCTGAATCCTCTGTAACTAGTTAGTTTCTTTGCGGGTTCCCCATCAGATTTAATTTCAGTTTCCATTTAGTTCAAATGCACAGTAGGAACAAGCAGTTGTTGCAAGAAAGGGGATTTGGATGAAAAATAACTAGCCAGATGCTGCTAACTCCTAACCAGGCAACAGGTGTGTGGGGCTCTGTGGGCTCTGTGTGGGGGGGGGTTTAGTTCTAAACTAATACTATGTTTGAAATTTTCCATAAAAAGATTTTTCAAAGTAGTAAAAAACATAGCAGATAAACACAAGAATAGAAAGGAGGAACCCCAACTATGCCTCCAAGAGGGCCCACAACCAACCCCGTGAGTCAGGATTCCCTCCGTCATTGACCGGCAGGCCCGGTTCCCTGTAACTCCCACAGCCACTGCAGTGTGTTCGGAAGCCCTGCAGGACATCCGCTCCTCGCCGGCCCCCTCTGCAGGAGCAGAGACTCATCACTGAGAGAGGCGTATCTTGCCGCTGGTCCTACCCTTTCATCTGGGACCTACTGCTTGCTCTACTTTGCTGGTGTCTCGGTGTGCTTGACGTTGGGAACCTGGGAGGAAGGGTCCCCCTGGGGAGACCTCTTAAGGGAGAGGTTCCCAATCAAGACACTGTGGCTTGGTTCTCTCCACCAGCCTTATGTGGCGACTGGTGACAGCCCATTCACACCGGCCACTTACATTCCTCCTGCGGTCTTTGATCTCACCTGAAGGATTAGCCCACCTCCCAAGGAGGGCTCTCCCCCACCCCAAGCCATCTCCAGTAGAGCCGGGTAGAACTGGAAGTTCTCAGTGTTAGCCTACAGTTTGGGGTAAAAGCCATTCCCTTCTAGAGATTTCCAGATTTCTGAATCCCTGTTCTAGGTGTATTATTCTTTGATCAGAGGGAACATGTGGTTCCCATGTCTAAGTTAACAAACATACTTTTAGAACCAATTCTCATAATGAGGTAGTAAAATCAAGAGGTCAAACTTTAATTAATTAAACTATCTACATAACTGTTCTAATTTCCCAACTTTATAATTTAGTAAGATTGGCTTTATTTTCAACTGTACTTTATCAGGTCTGGTTTGAAGCTGCTTGAGAAGCACCACCAAACTTCTCAATAAAATTAAAAAAGCAGGACAGCAGAAATAGGCACATACTCAGTTGACGGGGAAATTTACACAATATATTAACAAATTAAAGCCTATGGAATTAACATTTAATTCTGCCTCATTCAGCAACAGCCCATACATGTTAAAATTTACTGTAACTCTTTGCTTCCAGAGCCCCTTTAAGTATTTAATCAAGTTCAATTTCAGAAAATAGACAAAGTTAACTACATTCAGTACCTAAAAAAAAAAGCTCTCCCATAACGAAATCTAAATTAAATAATGCCTTATAGGTCTACCAGTATTCCCATGAAAATGTACTTACAACCAAATGTATCAATCGAGAACCTATTACTGTGTGGTCTGTGCATACCACTTTGATGAGAGAATAAAAAGACACGTATAATGCCTGTGTACAAGGAAAGGACAAACTAGATTAAAAAAAAAACTCATGCCAGACCCTGAGGCTTTACCCACACCCCTACACCCCAAGGATGGGTTTAACTACTAGCTTCAGCATGACTTTAAAGCATGAGATCTGATGAGGAAACCATTCTTTAGAGCATAGTTCCAAAGAACCTGGACAATGCCTACACTAGCCTTACTACTGAAACAGTGCCTACAGCAAAATGTGCTGATGGTGCGGGCCCATCAGTCAAATACTGCCAAGTCCTATGCTGTCTGGCAGGCAGGTGACTGACAGCTATTCCCAGAAGAGGGACAGTGTAGACGATGCCTCCCTTTCTACTCTGAAGGATGGGTACCGCAGCTGTACTATGGAAAGTATGGAACACCGCGCAAGTGTACAGCATTATCTGTCGTAACAGTATTTGTAACAATCCATCTTACATCTGTCTGTGACAAAAAACCAGGATGAAACTTCCCGGAACATACGTCTCCTCTGTGGCCTTGGGCCCTAGCACATAGTGGGCGCTTCATTAGTATTTGGGGAAGGAACCAAGTAAATGAACACCCTAAGAGGCCACCGCATCAGGAGCCCCTCTGAATAACAAACGTCTCCAGCTACCCTGAGGACAGATGGATCATAGACTGCAGCCAAGCACAAACGAGGTTGCTGAGGTTGGGCGGGCACTGGGAGAGTCAGCAGTTAACCATCTCCTTTCCCTCTTCTAATGCTCACCGTGAGGGCAGCAGGGACTAGCTGGGGTGGGCAGGCAGTCCACTCGGCGGTGTGGAGGGGTTGAGCACGATGCAGCGCTGCGGGCTTTGCAGGATGGTAATGGTTGGGCAGCCACCATGGCACATACGGGAGCCCAGCCTGGCTGTAAAGCAGGTCCCCTGTGCTACAGCCCCTAGACCAGCAAACTCTTGGCTTGGGTGCGAGGCCGCAGCCCAGAGCGTACCACTGGTGGGTGCGCTGAAATCCTGACCCATCAGCCTCAGTGCTCACCTCTGGCTGCAAACAGCCTCTTCTGCTGACCTCAGTGTATGAGAAAATATTTCCATTTTCTACTTGTCAGTGATACAACTATCAGTACATTAGTAAGAAAATCAGCTCTGTGCTCCTGAAGAACAGGAAGATTGTCTCCACTGCACTGACCCAAAGAATATCTTTACAACTTGCCTAACACATCTATTCAAATAAGTGAGTAAACTGAAAACTAAAGAACTGGGGCAGGAAACGAGAGGGCGGGGGACTAAAGAAAAATAACACTGAACATGGAATTCTCTCCAGAATGGGCTCCACACACAACAGCAGCAAGCCAAGCATGCGTTTTCTTGCTCCTGTGTGGAAAGAGGGACAGAAGAACGCTTTCTTTGCAGTTAGGGCTGCCACAGACTTGCACCTCCTCTCCCCATTATCAGCAGCCCAAACTGTCCTGGGATGAGGCAGGGGGCCAGGCACTACTTGGGCAGTCCATGGCAGGGGGCAGGGTTTGGGCGATCAAACCTATACAAATTTTGTGTGATATGCATTTTCAAGAAGAAAGATCCCTTATTAGATTTTCAAAGAGGGTCCTGACATCCCCTGAAGATTAAGGATGTCTGTCCTTGGGGAAGAAACTCCCCTGCCTGCCCCTCTCAACTCTCAGAGGAGGATAAGAAGCTCTCCCAGATCTCATACAACCCTGCCACATGTGGGCCTTTTCCGGTAGACAGTTTCCCACCCAAAGACATCAACCACTTATATCAACAGCCATCCCCACAAATGCACTCTCCCAGATTTTCACCTCCAAACACCCTCTTGAAACACAACTCCTGAGAAGGACTAGATCATAACCTTATTTACAAGCTAAAAGCCTGATAGGGGCATGCTGTGTGACCAGCTGAGAATATCTGGAAAAGGTGGGAAGGGGGAGGATGTACAGGACTGGAGCAGGACAGCCAGAAACATACTTCCACTTCCTGATTCCACTTAGTGGGCCAGGCCTTCAGAAATGCTCTAAGTGGCAACAAATGCTGAGTTTGACGTGGTTTCTATGAGACCATTAACATGCTGCTTTTTCAAAAGCTGAATTCTTCAGCAGTTTCCTCACACCTTGATATACACTTGAAACCACACTACACTACACAACAGAGTGATTAGAGGAAACACTGCTCCTCTGACAGGGTGGGGGCAAGCGTTCCTCGTGCTGGTCAGAAAATACACAGAAAGGAAACAAAATATGACCTTCAACAATAAGCTTACTAGGAACAATTGGACAGGTTAGAATTTTCAGCTGTAAGGGCCTCAAAGAGTATCTGGTTAAAACCTACCCCTTCATGGGTGAGGAGAGGGTGGCCCAGAAAGCTTAGGAACACAGCAAGCAAATGGGCAGGAGACCCTGCGCTGAGGCTTTGCCCGAGGACACAAGGCTCCACACCTCTTTGTTTAGCAGAACTGTCTCTCTTCCAGGCACACCTGGACTTGCTCACACATGGTGCTTGTACCAATGGTCAGAGACACACTCAGTCAACTAAGTCCAGGCATTAGCAAACTATGGCTGGTGGGCCAAAGTCAGCCCAAGGCCTGGTTTTGAAAAAACAAAACAAACTGAAAGAAAATTTTAGCGGAATACAGCCACAAGTTAAGACTTCATTCAGAGGCAGTGAGCTGTAGTTGAGTGTGTGGACTTTGGGGGATACTGACCTGGTCTGAAGGTGGCGCTCCCACTCGCTAGCTGAGTGATCCTGCGCAATTTACTTGGCTTCTCTGTGCCTCGGTCTTATCATCACTAAGGTGGAGATAATAGCATCTCCTCTTGGGGTATGAAGGAGGTCAGGCACATTCCTGCACAGGAAGCACCAGGAGGCGTCACGGGCATCAACCAGCACCACTGGGGTTGGCAGCATGTGGTTGTTTAGCTTTGGCAGGAGTCATTTCACACTACACGTAACTTCTTTCATAAGAATGCTTAGGGTAATCATGAAATGAACATGTTTTAGAGATCATGTGATGATGGGGAGTGGTTCAAACACGTAGGATCAGAGGGAGAGGCCAGCTTGAATTGTGAGACATTTTCAGAGAAACATGAAGCAAACTTGTGACAAAAACAATCTTGTGCATTTACTGGATGT